TAATAAAAAGATTATTACATCACCCTTATTTGAAAAAAATCTGCCCCAAAACGACCCATCAGCCGTCTTACTTGCTTATGCATTCGTTGAAGTACTCAAATACAACAAATTCCAGGACCGTTTCGACGAGGACAAAGTAAAAACAGTGCTTGGTGTCCGTTTCCGAGTAGTTTATTCTAAGATGCAGATCCTTCGACGTCACATTCTTGATGTCAAGTTCGGTTAGATTGACGGTCTCGGTGACGCTTCCATTAATTTTCACCTCAATCAAACCGACTGTAATTCTCACGCCACTTGAATCCGCCATTATGACATCAAACGTCATAAGAAAGATGCCCCCTTGGCGCTGGTTGAACAACATATCCGTGTACTTTCTACCCCACGGGAACGTGGTGTTTAGCATAATGTGGCCACTGGTATTCAATTGTATACAACGGATCTCCAAGCTTTTCGAGTTGTCCCAGTGGCAGAACGAGTAGTAGCCGTAGCTGTTTGACGCCTTAGTGGACAAAACCAGTCCCCAAATATTACGTACGTTATAATCTTGGACCAAAATGGTTTCTAAGCCGTCGAAGCTCACGTGACTGACGTTCATGATGACGCTACACTTGTTGTCATTCTCGAAGTTGATTAAAAATACTCCACTTTTTTCATTCAGCCGATCCACGACCAACGCTTTCGTGTAACGCTTCGAGGGGAAGGGGACTTTGCCGACTAGTTGACCTGGAAATAATCGAAAAATGTGGCATTAGCAAATTCGGGCATAAAACATGACACGAATATAATTATATTACCATGTTCGTTGTATTGGAGAATGCACGTGTTAGGCTGGGCGCCGCACGACCCCTCGTCATCCACGCAAATGTAGAAGTAATGACGGTAAGCCAGGAGAATGTAGTAGTCGGTCCGAAATACGTAATGGATGGTGGTGCAGTTGACCATGTCGATGAGGCTGACCCACCTGTACGTGACATTATCCCCGCGGGTCTTCGAGGACCACTCGAAAAGGACTTTTTTTCCCGCAAGCATACTCTTGACATCAGCGTTGTGTTTCAAGTTCATGCCCGTGTGCAGATTGATGTCGTGGGTTTTTGGTACCGTGAGCATGACGTTGCAACTAGTTTTGGTGTTGTTCACCATCTTTGTCTGGAATCGGCAATCAGCCTCGTGCTGATCATCGTTGATGTAGCAGACTACGTAAGAAAGACTTCCCTCGATGTTTTCGGACATTCTGTAGAAGAAGTTGGGAAAATAGTCCTCGGAGAAAATTTTGGCAAAAGTCTGCTTCTCGACCGGCTGCGTGGCGACGCACAGAAGACCGACGGCCACGAGGGCTGCTTTAAAAATCGGCATTTTCCAATGTACTTTCCTGAGAAATGAAAGAGAGGTGAAATCAGTATCTGGATTTTAATTGTTCTAGTTCAAATAAGTATACAGGTAGGTACGTAAAAATAGTCGGATCGTAGATATACATCGAAGCAAAAAAAAGCTCTAAAGGGCTTTTTAATGACTTTACTCAATGATGATGCAGATAGTAATAATAATATGTTTGAGGAGTACTTACCTGAGATTTTAAAGTAGTTCAAAAGATGGTACGTGAGGCTCGTATACAAAAATCTCTACCACTGACCACTGCACTATTCTTCTGTCAGTTTGTACTATCACTGGACTTTCATTTCAGAAATAAGAGTTCTTTCGTAATTTTGAAACCAAAATTTTGACGACAAATCATGATTGCTTTATCGCTTATCGTTATCATACATTTATCTGCTGTTCACATAAAGACAACTAGCGCACAACTATTTCCATTTGCACGTATATAATATGATGATTAATAGTAGTGATGTGAAAATTGTTAAAATAATTTTAATCAACTACTATATTAACTTACCAGATAATAACCATGAAAAATTAACATTTACCTCGTATTTTAGGTAAAACAGATACACAAGAACTATATCTTAGTTAAAGCAATTTAAAAAAAAAAAAAAAAAAAAAAACAGTTTAATAAACTATTATTTTGCAGCTGTTACACATAATATGCCAGAGTATAGATTATAACGCTTATACTCTTGCTACATCTGGAGAAGTTTTTTTGTGTATTTTAAGATGAGCACACTAAAAAAGTCAATGTGTAATGGGTTTAAGGAAAAAAATTAAAGAAAATAACTTAAACGTCTGTAATTAACTACAAAAAAATATACGCGATGACTCTGCACTACCATTCACAGGAGAATTAAAATATTTGGACATAATTTAAATTATAACTTGAAATTCTTGGTTTTAAATGTTATTTTTTTACGGAAAAATATCGTTACATATCAATTAGCAATAGGAACGTTACTCAGCCGCAATTTGACAGTAGATAAGAAAAGGCCCAGTCGCAATTCGACATACATTAGAAAACGAAACTTATCGTCCAGCCGCAACTCGACACTTTTCTCTTTCCATCCGCAATTCGACATTTGCGATTTTTTTTTTAAATTTTTAATCATCATGTAACTATAATAAAATAATAGTTAACTTTCTATATAAAGTAAAGATATAATTTCTTAAATTGTTATATTAATTTAAATAAATGCATTTAAAAATAACGTTATAAAGTATTTATGGAATTTTTCTATACTATATTTAATTACGTAAGAAAGTGTAAGAAGGAGTCTAAAAAAATCTCACTCTTTCTTATAAAGAGGGAATGGTGGGAGTCGAAATTCTTTGAAAAAGCCCTTATACGTAATTTAAGAACGGTCTTTTGCGGTTTAACTACGATCTTAGATATTTTAGTGGAATAATAAAATTCATTTGTGAATTAAATAGAAAAAGTCAAAGTTTGTTAATAAAAATAATTTTAGTCAAAAAACAAAGTCATTTTTTTTGTTGTTGAAAGTATTTTAAACAATGAACTAGGTTACATAATATCTGAACACTGTTTTATTTAATGATTCATTTAGATAATCATAGGAGATTGAATAAACCGTTGTAAGACCATAAAGGCGTTGCCTTGACAATCTTGTTTAATTTCTTAACTTAAATAATAAACAGTAGCTTGTTTGAATTAAAACAATTCCGTAGTTACGTTAAAAATTATATTTTTTAGTAAATTTACACACATTTATGTATTAATATTTTTATAAAATTTTTTACGCATATTAAAATGTATTTAAATAAATGAACTACTCGATGGCGTACTTAAATGGCGTTGAGCTTTTATTCCCATACATCTTCTACTGGTTAAATTATCAATTTTTGCAAAAATATTTGTAGTATATATTTTGTATACTTTAAGGCTTGCAATCCATGTTGTGTTTAGTATTAAAACGTTATTTATTTCCATTAAAGTGTAGCTCATTGTGTGACATTAATTGACTCTCTTTTGAGTTGAGATGTGATTTCTGCGAACAATTTCGCTTGGGAATTTATTTTGCATTCTTAACCCTGTGTCACTCAATTCTCTTTGTCTCCTCTGTGGTATGATATCATTTTTTGTAGAATAGCATAACTTTTGTCATTTGTTTTATTTTTCACCAAGAAAAATATATTGGCATTTTTTACTCTCTTGCAACATGTTTTTTTTTGTTAATTATGATTAATTTAACCTTGACCAACATATTATTACAGTACACTAAGTTACTGATTACCGTCAGTTTATCATACAAAAGTAGTGTCTCATCTACTGTAGTGAACAACTAAATGATTAACTAGTAAAAATTAAAATCCAAATATAATATTTTCCACTCACGTATTGGCTTTTCAAATTAACGAGGTAATTTCAGCTCCTTAAATATCGAGTACACATTACGTACGCGTATAAATAAAAGCTTGCGTCTATTCTTTAACTTCATCTCGATAGCCCACCCACATGCATATATAGATTTTCCTTTTTACGAGAGTAAGACAATCCAGTATTGTAGTCTGGTTCTTTTATGTTCGTAAACAAGCGCGTAACTCTTTTCGGTATGTTGGAGATAACAAGGAACCAAAAAGTTAGGAGAAACTTGTTTCGATTCGCTTTTATGGCCCTTAAAAAGTACCACAGTCGCGATTTCGGATTTACCCGAGCGAGTTCGTAATTTGCAATTAATTGCCAACTCGTATAATTTAGTACAATGACAAACTTTGTACGCTTCTGCAATACGTGTAATCCAATTTATCCCAACGCAATCGAGCTTATCACTGTAAAATTGTTGAATCAAGAGTACATCCGAATAACTTCTTAACAATAGACTCCAAGAGACGATTGTCCCCAACAAACATGTACATTTTGTTCCCCAACAATCCGTAGTCCCATTAACCAAATCTGGAAAAAGGCCCCCAGCAAAAGCAGTAGAGCCCCTGCGAAATCCTCGCTGGACGATAGACTGTCCCAGAAAACGACTCAATGAACCTCCCCGGCGCATCACCCTGCTCCCTTCCCATTTTTCGACACCACCGAGGCGTCCGATGGGGCGTTGGTGGCGGCACACCAGAATCAATCGCCAACTGCCTCTCCACCCCGCGAACGCTCCTTGCCACGGGATTAAAATTAGAGCCATCGAGTACCTCCGTGCGTCTATATCCGTCCGCGTGTGTTCGCGGATAGCCTCCCCGAGTCAACACTGAGCGAGGGAGAGGGTAGCCGTACTCCCGCAGGAAGGTGTTTGCCGGGTCCAAAGTCGAAAATCTTAATTCACGGCGCAAGGAGGGTACCGCCCTCGGCTCGGGGGGGCGGCTCCCTTGCGAGTCCATTGGACCAGCCAGGCGTGGGTGGGGGCCGCGATTTTTGCGCGCGCCGCCGTTGCGCGGCTGCCGCGAGTACGAGCCGGTGGCCCGCGCCGGTGAAGCTCCTCAGTCGACGCCGAGCGTCCGCCGATGAGCGCACGGGACCACGCGCCCTTCTGACTTCCGTGCGGTTTGAGGGACGATTTTTCGCGATTTCGCCATGACTGTCTCGAGGGAGTGTCTCCGTCGCGGTCCACGCGAGTTGTTTGCCGATGGACGATCGGCCACGAATCACTTGTGAGCCATTTTTTTACCATTTCTAGGATGAACCGCGTCCGAGTGCGTTGATATCGGTTTTTAGACGCATTCGCGAATCAAAGTCTTCGTTGAGGAATTGAGTAAAGGATGTTCCTTCGTCGGCAGAGTCCAGGCGTCGCAAGGTGCCGATAGAAATTTGAAGGGAACAAAAAAAGGCAGAGTTGGGGGTTGAAATATGGATCGGCGCCGATTCGACCACAACCGGAACGTCATAGGGGTGAGCGAGAAGTTTGTACCAGAGCCGATGTCTGTGTGTTGCGAGGACGTCGGTGGTCCACGGATGCCAAAAACGGGGATGTCGACGACGGTGGGCCGGAGGCGGGGGTTGCCCGCCGCGATAATGGCACTGCTCACCGGCACGTGGCTCGTCGCGGTGTTCGCCGCTGCGGTGAACGACGTATCGGCTGCTTTCACGACTGGCAAGTGGTTTTTTGGTTTTTACTGTGGATTCGTTGCGTTGGATGGGTTGTTGATGAGTCCTTGGTAGAGAGAGAGAGAGAGAGCCAAGTGTTATATGATAACTCGTGAGTGAGTTGGCGGTGGTTTTCGATTCAAGGTTTCGGATTGGAAAATTAAACCAGAAAAATATTCTTTGTGACCCATAAAGCTTTATTATGATTTTATTTATTCTTTTTTTCTTTTTCAACATAATACTCTTTAAATAACCATTTTTAGCACCAATATCGACGATACTTACAACTCATTTGTACGTTTTTCAAGTTGTATAATTTTTTTATCCTAAACGATGATTCAAATGGGGAATCACTACGCATTAATTTCCATCGCAGGAACTATGTAATTCCTTTTACTCTCATAAAAATGAGATCAAAAAATTAAAATCTTGTCATAGAAGTCTTATGCGAAACTGGGGGTTGCTCTCGCAAACTGTCAGTACGCCAATTTATTCCATATTTAATATGGAAAATAAAAAAAATTTATACCTGGTATGGATAGCCTTTGTGTCATCCACTAAACATGGATTACATATCTATTTCGACTGATTATTAGAACGAAGCACTTGGTTCTACGTCCAATTTGTCCATTCAATTATAAAAACATATCTATAGCCTACGTGACAACAAAAGGTTCCTCGTAGTCGTCAATTTCTTTGGCGAATTTCATCTTGAATCCCTGCTTCCCATCGTCAGCGAGAGACTCTATTTGACAAATTTAAAGGGCATCCGCATACAAAATTATTACCCTGCATCTATAGTTTTAGATCCCTTTGAAAGTTAAATAACTTCTACAACACTTAAGAGCTAGGACTTACGAAAGAAATCCCCTCAAATGCAACAACGTATGTAATTAGTGCTAAAACTGAATAAAGTGATGTTTGTGCTGCCAATCTGTCACTTTGCGCAGCCTATCGTGAGATATGTGATCCACTTTAAAAACATGCCAATCTCGTGTATTCATATGAAAAACCATCTACTGCATCGCACCTCCTTAAACAAACCGTGTAAAAATACCGATTCCGACACCGAAAATTTCACGGCCCATTTCCATACCACCCTGTACACACAGCACTATAAACTCGTGTATCGTACTCCGGCTCGCCTTCGTGTACTTCGAGCCGGTCAATTGCCACGCGTACAAACGTACGCGTATGTATTACACCCGGGGAGAGGGAAGTTTACCCTCGCACGCACACACCCGTTGTATCGCGATCGGCATTACGATAGGCGAAGGCTCTCTCTTTATCCCATCGGTATCAGGAGCTTTTAGGGTGGTGGTAGCATGTGCATTCGAAGCGTCCGTTCTGGCGCTCCATTATGGCCGGGGCTGTTTGCACACGTATGTATGTATGTATACCCTTGCTCTTGTTCGGCTGTATGACGGACACGAGGAGGGGGTGAGGGCTCGATTGTGCGTATAATAATTCTTCGACCGAAGGGTGGCAGGGGGTGTGTGTAGGCGCGTTTAACGTGACGCAGGTGAAGTGACGTCCCCGAAGATTTAACGCGCGAGCCATGGACAGGTAATCTCCGGCTTTAATTTCGGTCTCGTTAAATCAGCCGATTCGCGGGCGGGGAGGGGATGGACGCGCGTTCGATTTAAATTTTCGATTGGATTTTCCAACAAGGAGGAGTGCGATAGGATTCGTGAGTGTTGCGAGCGATGGTACGCGGGGAGTGTTGTTGTGTTCGTTTTAACAATTTTCTTTTTTTTTTTTTTTTTTTTTTTTTTTATTCATTCTTTTAAAGAACGAGAGTGCTGTTTCGTGTGCGTTTCAGTCGGATGTAAGGGAAGGCTCCGAAAGTCTTGCTGATGACTCGGCAGTTTGGGCTCTAGATAAATGGACGGATAAGTTGAAATTCATATCATAGCCAACTGATTTTTTTTTTGAGGCTTGATATTGTTCATTTCTCTGGGGGTGACAATTCACTTATTTTTTATGTACAATGTAATCAGTGGACATCTCGGTGGTAGGAGAGGGGAGAATTAAAAAAAAAAAACACTTTCTATTGCTTGAAAGCGTTCGAATCGTCAACCAAACTAAAAGCATCGAGATCGAAAATCTTCGTGATTGATTTGGCGATTGGAATAAATCACGAATATCGCACGCGAATGGTGCATTCATCAACAACTCATATCTTGTGATCAATTCATGTTATGATATCCCAACGATGACTTTCGTATTAAACAACGTAATGTTAGACGATGTTAAAAGTATAGAAAAGAAATTCATTGATTCGCTTCTGGTGAACCTTTTACTAGCTAAAAGTATCATAGTTTACCACACAGTAACTGCTACCCATCCTTCATCCCCATCCGTATAATAACCAAACAGAAGCTGTCAACTGTACAATTCAATGTTTTTTTTTCTTTCCAATTGTCATACTAACATATTGGTTTATATACTAAATAATAACGCGAGCAAACTTTATTTACAGTAAATTTCCCAACGCTGTTTGCAATCAATGCACGATCGGTGTTATCTATCAGATGTGGTGTATTTAAATAGAGTACAACAACACTCTACATCACAAAATACACTAGTGTATTTATAACATACATGTTCTTGCATTATTTATTCGAGCTTGTTTATTAAACACGCGTAAATAAAATTATTGTACCCCAACCGTGTGGTTAAACGATTGACGGTGATTGGTATAAGACATACGACGCATGCAAACATTGTCTGTGGAAAAAAAAAAAAAAAAACAAAAAAACAAACACCGCAAACGCAAAATTAGGTGTATGTATGGCCAAAGCAACTAATATAACCGCAAACACGAGTGACAAAACGGAGAAACAAAGGTCCGGGGGAATTTAGAGAGCCCGCGGTGTCATCGGTACACCTAGTCCACCGCACTCACCCGCCTCCCCCTCCACCAAAACACTTGCAACTCATCCGTATGATAACGCGAGCTCGCGCGTACAAACGCACTCGTTGGGTCCATTCCAGTCCTCGATAAATCAGCGGTCGCCCTCACGAGCAGAGTTCTCCTCCTCCACGCACAACCCGGTGGATGGAGATGGAAGCGCGGAATTAACCAGCCGCTCCCTCTCACCCCCAACAATATGTAATTATAATATTAATTGCCACGACAACGCCGGCAAACTAGAACAAGGATGGTAGGGCTGGGAGGAAACAAGCCGCGCGCTTTTGCCTCATTTCATCTCCGGTTGTAAAAAGAGGCGGGGAGTATGGAAGGTGTTCTCCTTCGGCATGCATAATTCATAAGTTCACGGGGACGACGACGGCGACGTTGCTCGGGGAACATATTTTTTCGACTCGGCGGAGCACATAAACGAATGCAAATGAATCGTCCTTAATGGAGTGCCGGAGCAGGAGCTGCTCCTCTCCTCCGCCTACTTACCCGCGTATAATTGCCGGCGCGTATTATCCCTTGTACAACCTCTTTTTTCCTTCTCTTTCTTCCCACCCACCGGACTCTTTTGCACCCGAAAACGATAAAAATTGACACGTATTATAGGAGCTACCTAGTGTGTGAGTGCGGTAATACACCCGAGCCTTTTGTTATAATTGCCCCGAGAGCCACTTTCAGGCGTAGTCGTGCGAATAATGGCTGGTAATTGCATCGGCGAACTAGGATTCCCTCCCCCTTTTCACCCATACCCTGTACACTATCGTGGATATATTTGGGTTCGGGAAACGAGAATAAACCTCCACCGCGACAACACGCCTGTGAGTGATGTGTGCATCTTTAGGGTCCGAAAATAAGCCCTCGTTTGGTTTTTATCTTTTTCTCCAACCCTTGCCCGATCATCATTTAGAATCCGTACATCGGTTGGCTAATTAATTTACCTTCCGCTGCCGCATCGCTGTTTTCATTCGTTCGTGTGATTACACGCGATATATTGTATACCTAACGCGCGAATGAACGATCCGAAATTTAATAGCGGGTGTGTATATTAGCCGAGTGGTTTGGATCACATTTCGGGGGGGGGGGGTGCTTTTGATTGTTTGAGCCACGTACAAAGGAGGTGTTTTCGATATTTTGGCATGTAAGCTGCGGGCAGTCAATTTGAAGTACATCATAGCTCCACTCACTGATGCTCGATGAAACGAGAGTGAGCGTCATTGTCGATCTAGTATCGTTTTAGCTTTAGGGGGGGTTTCGTTTTTTTTCCCCCCGCAAATTGACCGAATCGATTTGTCCATTTGTTTTGGTATCCAGCACAGTCCCATCGACCGCGCGTGCATTAAACTTCAACCCGGAGTTTAATCAATTATGAGTCGACACACGGGCTGCCGGACTCTACCACTCGTTGAAGTGGGAACTGAGTGGACATAGTTGATAGACCTGTCAAAATAAATAGAGAGTCAAATTTATAGTTATACCTCGCAAATTTACGATAAAATGTTTAATATAACGTTTGGCGGATATCTAGCATCGTACGGTTAGCCTATATTTCTCTCTGGTATATCTATAGTAGGATGTGCTTTTGGTAAAATTATTCCAACTCGTTCTCATTTATGCGCTCGACGGTGGTTATTTTTTTTACTAAACCAAATGCTTTACTATAAAAGTGTCATGTTAAACGAGAACTTTTTTGTGCCTTTACTAGAGGTTAATTATTTTTTTAATAAAAGTTTCTATTAGGTGTTGTCCTTATAGTTTTATAGAGTAGTGATTAAAATTTTAAACAAAATAAGCTGACAACTTAATGATTTTCCATACGCATGTATGTTTTTAAACGTACTATTTTTATTACTTTTATACGGATAACATATCTGGGGCCGAATTATACCATTTTCTAGATATTGGAGTCTGAATTTTGATTTTTTTAACATGAGAAGTGTAGAAAAAGTTTCAGGTATTAGCAAGAAGAACCGTTACCACGTGTGCAAAAAACTGACATTTATTAAAAATTTTTGAGACTTTTATGAAAACGTTTCATTTTTTGAAAAAAAGGTTATACATGATCTGACAGCTACTTTAAACACTTT